TGCCAGCAGACTCATGCTGGTAGGTGCAGGATGCCCAAACACCTCTCAGCAAGAAATTCAACTGAGCAGACATGCTAGATTCAATACACCACGGGTGGTCAGCCTGTGGCTCCGGAGCCACATGCGGCTATTCAGAAGCTAATATGTGTCTCCTTGTATTACCGACTTTGGGGCTGGAGCTACAGGCACCAACTTTCCAATGTGCCAGGGGGTGCTGACTGCTCAACCCCTAGCTCTGCCACAAGCCCTGCCCCCACTCCACCCCTTCCCGCCCCCTACCCTGAGCCTGTAGTGCTCTCACTTCCCTCCTCCTGGTCCCCCCGAGCCTCCTGCATGCCACAAAACAGCTGATTAGAAGGTGTGGGGAGGGAGGGGGAGGTGCTGACCGGCAGGGCTGCCAGTGGGTGGGAGGTGCTGGGAACGGGGTGGGAGAACTGATAGAGGGCTGCTGACGTATTACTGTGGCTCTTTGGCAATGTACATTGATAAATTCTGGCTCCTTCTCAGGTTCAGGTTGGCCACCCCTGCAATATACTATCCATGCCCCAGATGGAACTGCTGGTTGGGACTTCAAGTGATACAAGAGGACAACTTTTCATTGCTATCATAGGCACAGCATAAGACATGACTTTTTTTTTAATGCAATCACCCCCATGATTTCTCCCCAATACTCTGACCACCTCCTTTCACATTTAAGGCATGTCTACACTTAATGCTACAGCTGTGCCACTGCAGTTATGCCGCTGTAGTGCTTCAGTTTAGACACTACCTATGCTGACGGGAGGGAGTTGAGAGGTGATAGCTAGGTCAATGGAAGAATTTTTCCTTCAACCTAGAGCATGTCTACACTACAGCCTTAAGTTGATCTAAGTTAGGTCGACTTACAGCCACAGCAGTAACTACCCTCCTTCTGTCAGTGGTGCGCATCCCCATCAGGAGCGCTTCCACCAACTGATGGGGACAGTGTGGGGGGCAGCTGCCCAGATTTCTCGGGCTTCTTACCTCCCTAAGCAGGGAGCCTCCAGGCAGCTGCCCAGCTGGGAGTGGGGATCTGGGGGCAGCCAGGCTGTCTTGTCAATTTCACAGCTCCAGCATGGAAATTGATAAGACAACCAACAGCTGAAATAAGTAACACTGTGTTGCCCTAACTACAAAGACATAAATGCCATGCCTCTGGCGGGGGTGGAGTTATCGTATCCGTGTAGTACAGCACTTGGGGCAGTCTACACTACAGGGTTAAGTCGACCTAAGTTACGCAACTCCAGCTAGGTGAATAACATAGCTGAGTCGACATAGCTTAGGTCGACATATTGCAATGTCTACACTGCACTGGGTTGACGGGACTTACTTTATGTTTCTGATTCCGGTAGAGTATCGAGTTGACAGGAGTGCGATCTGTGGTCGATTTAGTGGGTCTTCACTAGACCTGTTAAATTGACCCCCAGTGGATCAATCACCACAGCATTGATCCCTGGTAAGTGTAGACATACCCTTCCATCGGCAGGACAAAACTGTAGCATGTACAGACAAAATTAGGTCAATGTAAGGCAACTTACAATGACCTCACTGTGTCGTGTAGACCAGTTCCTACTGCTATCTACACGGGGACTTAGTTAAACCAACCTAATTTTTTATTGTAGACCAGGCCTTACTCTACTGCAGTCACCTGAGTACCAAGATGACCTGTAAAAGTTGCATACAAGGAGAGGTCAATTTAGCAGCCACTTGACAGTCAATGGTTAGAGCATCCTACTACAATATCAATAGATAGTGGACTGCTGCCTGAATAATACCTTCCCTATAGAGGTCAAACCAAATGGGTCAGTTAATGTCAGAGGGCAGCCCAACAACACAGGGCCTGTGGACCCAGTAGGAGCAAAGGTAATGTTACATCTTGAGGTATGTAATCCTCACCCTAATCACTACCATAGTGTGGGACCACATGTGTGAGAAGACAGAATCCCCGTGGGATGGACTCCCTTTGTTAACGTAAGTGTCCACATGGATGACTTTTTCAGTTTGACTTCAGTGCTCATGACCCTCTCAGCAACTCCAACACCAGGCTGGACAAAAACTCAAACTGTATATCTAAGAACAGTAGCCGTGTCTATTTTAAACTGATTCTGGGTCTTGCATATACGGTTGCTGCACTCCAATTTAATCTTGGAATGAGACCGCCTATATTTAGGGTCAGATGCAACCAAGACACATGCAGGTTGGTAAGCATCAATAATTTCTCATCTACAACAGGGTGAAGAAGCAACACTAACTTCATGGCTACGCCAGTTTTTACAGTTTCATGATGGCTCCAGCAAGGTGAAAGTGTTTATTTTCTATAGAGAAGTTATTCAAGTTTCAGACAAGCAGGACTATTTATTAATCAATATAATGAGCAGAGCAGTATGAACTTCCCTGTGCTACTTCATCAATAGACTATCTTGACTTACATCACTTCTGCTGTTATACTTCTGAGCTTCTCTTGAGGCTGATAGATATGAATACTTAAGACACTCATTAGTGGCTAAGCTGAAACCACTGAAAGTGACCTAGTGTAAGATTTGAACTTGCAACTGCAGAAGCAAAAAAGGCCAGCAAGCTATCCCACTGCGAAATCAAAACACTCCCAGGCTAGGTCTATACTACCCGCCTGAATCGGCGGGTAGAAATCGACCTCTCGGGGATCAATTTATCGTGTCCCGTCGGGACGCGACAATCGATCCCACGAATCGGCGCTCTTACTCCACCAACGGAGGTGGTAGTAAGCGCCGCCGACAGAAAGCCGCAGAAGTCGATTTTGCCGCCGTCCTCACAACGGGGTAAGTCGGCTGCGATACGCCGAATTCAGCCACGCTATTCACGTAGCTGAATTTGCGTATCTTAAATCGACTCCCCCCTGTAGTGTAGATGTACCCCTAGTTTCTCTGGTGTTTGCGGTGCTGTCTAGTGGCAATAGCATTAACAGCACTGTCTGAAAGGACCAACAGGCTGCAGATCCTGTGGCTGCACAGAGGCAGAGATAGTGCTCCTCAACCACACACACCCACCCACCACATAAGCAGTGAGTGACCAAAAGCTGAACCATGCTCAGTCTCAGACTAAAGCTTGTTTGCTACCAGGTCACATCAAGAATGTCGATCTGTTCAGTGCAACGAAAGCCACCTCTAATCAGAGAGACACGAGGCAAGAACCACAGGAAGTGGTAGTGATGAGCCAGCGTAACAGCTACAGAAGCAATTTAGCTGGTACTGCTATACTCAGTGGCAAAGGGGTAAAAAGTCAGTCCTGTCAGTGCCAACCCTCCCCTCCCTGTATCCCCTCTGCAGTTTTGCAACTAGGAGACACCCCCACCCCCAGGGGCAGGTTGGGGGACTAGGGCTCCTGCAGTGTCCCTCCTCACCTCACCTATGTGGGTCTGGGGACACACTGCAAGGAGGAGCCAGCCAGAGACTGAAGCTGGCAGAGCAGCTGCACAAGCATTGGCTGTTTGCTCCAACTTCTTCCCTCCCCCCCACCAGGCTGTGGGTCGGACCCAATCCTGGGTCATGGAATGGAAGGCACCGGGTTGTGGCGGCTCTGGTCAGCACCACAGACCAGGCCATTAAAAGTCCTGTCAGTGGTGCTTCCTGGATAAGGCAAGCTAATCCCTACCTGTTCTGACACCTGAGGCGCAGCAAGAAGTGGCCAGAAGCAGGTCTGGCTCCTAGGTGGGGAGGCCACGGGGCTCTGCATGCTACCCTGCCCCGAGCACCAGCTCTGCACTCCCAGCTAATGGGAACTGGGGTGGAGGTGCCTGCAGGCAAGAGCCACGCAGAGCCACTTGTGTGCCTCCGCCTAGGAGCTGGACCTGCTGCTGGCTGCTTTCAGGGCACAGCGTGGTCCGTAGTGCCAGGACAGCGTGGCTGGCTCCAGCAGGGCGGCACAGCTGTAGCGCCGCCAGCCACCAGTGCTCCAGGCAGCGTGGTAAGGGGGCAGGGAGTGGGGGGGTTGGATAGAGGGCAGGAGAGTTTGGGGGTGGTGGTCAGGGTGGTCAGAGGGTGGGGAACAGGGAGGTTGAATGGGGGCAGGAGTCTCAGGGGGCAGTCAGGAAGGAGAGAGGGTTGGATGGGGTGGCGGGGGGCAGTCAGGGGGACAGGGGAGGAGGGATGGTTGGATGGGGGCAGGGGGTCCTGGGGGGGGCAGTCGAGGAAGGACGGGGGGGGTTGGAGTGAGGCGGTGGGGGCAGTCAGGGGACAGGGAGTGTGGGGAAGGGGGTAGATGGGGGAGGGGTCCCGGGGTGGGGGCCATCAAGGAACGGGGGGGGGGGCGGCATCAAGGAACAGGGGGGGGTGGATAGGGCAGGGGTCCCGGAGTGGGGGCCAGGCCACACACCCTCCTCTAACTGGCCCTCCATACAATTTCCAAAAACCGATGCGGCCCTCAGGCCAAAAAGTTTGCCCACCACTTGTCTAAGCATAGCTGTCTGCCACCTTCTGGAGTTGATGTGAAAGTGCAATTGTGAGTACTTTTTTTTTTTTTTTTTTAATTGGATACACAAAAACAACCTGTAGTAGCTTTCAAAATACAATAGGTTTTTGGTAAACAATTTACCTTCCCAAAAGATCATGCTAGAGTAGAATAAAAAAATATTTTTTTGCAGCAAAAGATCTAAACGAGAATAGCCTGATTCTAGACTTTCTAGAAGAGGAGACTCATGGAGAATACAGTTTTGAGACGCTACTACAAAACAGAAGCACAAAGGAAAAACCAAACCAATTCTCTTAATGCACATTTAGCACTGGGATGGCTGCTCAAACAATTGCTGACTTTTCTTCCCTCTGCAAAAGGGAACAGCTCATGCAGACAGACAGCTGTGGACAAGTGTCCAGGAAATGGGAATTTATGATTGTTTGATAGATCACAAGAGGATGGACAAAAGGCAACTTTAATTAGACAGAATGATCTTTTCACAAACATATCCATAAGCTGGGCTCAGTAAAGAAATACTGAAATACTGAAGATACCTGCATGGATGAACTGAACACATAGGTGGTGGAGGAAGATGGGGATGATTTTCAATTGTTACTGTTTTTTTGACATGATCTTGACTAATATCTTCATACATGTAGTCTACCGTTAAAGGCTGCCGTTGCTGAAAAGAAAAGAAATGTGTAGCAGGAACAGTGTCGCACAAACAATCTTTTCCTCCTACTCAGAAAGTAGGATAGCACTAAAGTAGCATTTTGCAGGTATATATGTTATCTCTGCTTAAAGGACCCCAGAGTACTTTATAAACTAAACATAGCACTGAAATCAAAAGTGGCAAGCAACCATAGGGACAAAAGCGAGAAAGGGGATCTTAATGACCGGGCAAACCTCTATTCTTATGAAAAATGCTGCAGGATCCATAGGATCCACACAGAGCAGATATAATACTGCATAGTACTTTGTTTACAGTACTGTGGGAGAACTGGGAGCTGAACCTGTGGTTCCAAGGAACCTAGATATTTCTAGACTGAGGCTTATATCACTAAGTCATCAAACTTACAAGATTCCATAGTGTAAAATGGAAGAATGCTTCGTTACTCAACTTCCTGCTGCCTGTGTACACTTGGTTCTCACACCTTCTTGCTTTACTGACAACAGATTTACTGGTTTTCATTCTTGTTACCCACGGAAAGCCAACAGCTCAGAGAACTAGAATCTTTTCTTTGAAGGGCACCATCACAACTGGTTATAAAGATCCAATTACAGGGCCATTCAAGGTGTGGTGAGATTGCTTTTACTTATTCTCACAGGCCCAGTAAATCTTGGCTGAAGTCCTGGCTTTACACTGATCTGCTCACTTCCCTTAAACACATATTTAATCAAGTTGCAACAAATTGACCGTGCTACCTTAACTGGTGAGTCTTAACACTGAGGAAAAAAAAAATACTGGTAATACCTCATCATATCCAAATAACCACAGCCTTGGAGTTTGGTAGTATTTGTCGTAAGTGATGTAGAGGTCATAAGTTCTGGTCTGCAGGATGGCATCTTCCCCTCCGACATCAGCTTTAGCTTTGCTAGCTTCTGCTATTTTTCTTGTATCAAGAGTTGCCTGAGTGTAAAGATTTAAGATAAAAGAATAAAGTCAATAACAGTAAAACAAATATTTAAGTAACACTATGCCTTTATTCACCTTTGCCCCATACCTAAAAAGGCATCTGAAGACCATGGTATTCTGATCAATGTGTCAGTTATAATATTCATTTATAACAAAAATTGGTGCTTTTAAAAGTTTTAGTAAATGCATTTAAAAAAGCATATTAGCCATTTGACAGTGTTACCAGTTTGAGCACAAAGTAGAAAGGATGTTAATGCTGTGGAGGAGGTAGAGAACAGTTCACTCACGTCATCTGTCTCCAATAGCCCACTCTCTTCATATTCTGAAAGGAAAGAAAGAATGTCTACAAGTTCATGCCAAGCTTGTAATTGGTCATCAGAAGCTTAAAAATATGCAACCAAGAGTGCCTCCTTAAAATCTGCAAGCATCTAATATACATGCTTTATCCAAGTAGATTTCCTAATTTTCCCAGTACCATTAAACTACACCTAGACTCTCTAATACTGTAAATGTGACAGACTGTCTACCATGTGGCTCCACTAGACACTCATTATGGAAGCCTCTAGGAAGTCAGCATTTTTCACTGGGTGGGTTTCAGAAACTGAAGTTCGTGCACTAAACAGTCACAGAGTTGCCATGCTAGACTTGTCTATTCCGCTGCCCACTGACCTAATTTTCCAGTCACTGACACTTGTGCATTCCAGTGGAGTTGTGGTGGCGTAAACCCAATGCGAAAGGAGAATCAGGTCCAACATGGGACTGTTAATAGGCATTACATGGAAACAAGCAGTAGTGCTTTCCTAGAGAGTGCTGCCCTGGTTACATGGCTGAAATAAAGTGCATCCTATCCAACTTAAAAGGAAATACCTTCCATGTCAGCTGCTTCCCCTTCATCTTCCTCATCATCTTCACAAGAGGCTGGATGTCCTGACAGTTTTATATTGTCCTTTTAAGTTAAATTGAAAGCAAGTGAGAACAATGCTTTACAGACACTTGGATTCAAGAGATGCAATTCATCTGCCTTGGAAAGTCTATTTACAAATGAGTATTTTCCATTTATTCCTATGAGGCCAAACAACATAAACAAGAAAACTGATATTCACATTAGTAAGTACTACATTCTCAGGCATTTAAAGGTTTTTGTACAACATTAAAAATCCACTGAAAGTTATGAGATTCTGTATTCTCTTGCTTCCAGATCAACTCTGCTCAGGCTCAAAGTCAAAGGATGACTTCTGTAACTATCCATGTTGTAAATTCTGCTCTGAAAATACATTTACTCCTATATCACCACCAAGATAGAGACTCTGCCGTCAGAGCATAACTGATAAGCCTGCTGTTTCCCAAGGCATAACAGAATCCAGTTTGCTCAGTGGCACCACACAGACTAGACAGCTAGCAGGAAGAAGTTGTCAGCAAAGAGAAGTGTGACTTGAAGACATACAGAGCTGGTACATTGGGCAAGTCAATTTAAAGGAATCAAGTACAATTATATTTAAAACTGAGTACCTGGTTTAAAGCCTGTTAGTACCATAGCAAAAGCCAGTTGTCCAATAATTCCACACTTGTTTTAAAGCCATGCAAGATTCTCAGCTTGTTTGAGACTTTGATCCGTAGTCTGACAAGTTAGAGATCCAAGATTGGAAGAGAGAGATCCTGGGTGTCAATGGCCAACATTCCTCCCTTTCCATATAAAACAGGTTCTAACATTAAAGGTTCTATACAAGCTTGCTAAGTGCATAATGAACTGCTTTGGGATACAGTACCCGTGTACAGAAGACACTACATAAAAGCAAATCCTGTTCTAATAATATTACACAGGAACGCAAAGTTTTGCCATGCTGGATTGGGCCACTGGCCCATCAAACCAAGTATCCTGCAAAAAGCAGATTTTTTTTTTTTTTTTTTTGGCATCTGATGAAGCCAGTTACACAATGCAGTATGTACAGCGCAGATACTTCACATTCTGAAAGAATAGGTGAAAAGCAAGCCAAGTGCTTTTATTTCTGCTTGAAAAGTGTGTATTTGCCCTGGGCCCCGTAAAAATATTGTTGTACAAGACAATGTTGCTGGCCAGCTACAATAGGCCTGTAAGCACCACGAGGGACCACTGGTCTGTTGCAGTCCTTACCAGCCCCCCCCCGCCACTTCACACACCAGATTTATACTGCTTTTAGATTCAAAGAAGCCTTCCAATTGCAGCTCAGAGGCACAACTCCATTTTAGTCAGGTTCCTTTAAGAGGCATTTCTACAGATGACTTTCGCCCAATAATGCTTTTTAAACATATACATGTTATTGTTGAGAATGGAAAGGTTCATGCTATCTTAAGTGCCTCTTCAGCCTTAGAGGAAGCTGAGAGCAGCTGGAAGTTTTCCAGATTTCATCTCGGCCCTATGATGATTTGAGAAGTATGATGGCAGTTAATATAAATGCACTAAAATAAGAATGAATTTAGCTACATTAGTGCCTCAGCAACTGGAGATAGAAGTTTGGCAGAAATGTGACTTGTCCAAATCAAGATGTACCTTCTCTAGACCTCCTTAAGGGACCAGGATTTTAAAACTATATAAAACTTGTTGAATAAGCCCCATTTTACCATATAATAGGACTTTTTGTTTTTAAATCTATCAATTTGTCAGCATTCTAATAGCTCTGCACATGCTCACCTCAAAGTTGAGGTGAAATCAGTTTCTAGGTGTATGTGGAATATTAGTGAATGTGTATGTTGAATGGAAATACTCCAGATGAACAGTGCCTCATTCCATGATAATGGGAGGGGATACATGCTTACATTGATATTATAAGGGGGTTACTAATTCAGTTCATAGCTCACCCCACCTTCACATATTTCCTGGCCTCTGTACTGTTCTTTCATGTACAGAATTAGCTCACATGGCTGTTTAGGGATACTATCAGACATCTATTGTAGTTTAACCTTCTAGTACAATAAGTCAATATTCACAAGCTAACAAATACCTTGCTCTCCAGTGTGATCTCCTTAACTGCTTCTGTCCCACCTGCAATACCTGTTGATTGAACATCAACATTGAAAATAGTCCAAATTAGAAGAGCCTGTTTCTTTGTTACCAGGATGGTACAAATGGCTCAGAAAGGAGTATGTGATCCTTCCAATTACATTTTTATAAAATAACTTTAGAAACTGGAAGGACACGTTATTCAGAGCTGGACAAAGATTATCCCGCCCCCAAGCAGACTTATGTAGGCTAGTACAGACTAATCACATAGTGCAGACTTATGAGATAAGAGTTTTGATAGAGGAATCTTAAGCAGTTTCTGCACAAGTAATGAGTTGGGGGCAATACTTTAACTGATTATGGATAGCTCTTACCAATACATAAAAATCTAGATGGACTAATAGTCATACTGTACTACTCATGAACACTACCTTACACATAGTAACCTCAAGCACATGAAAGCAAGGTGCACTCCAAAAATAATAATTTGAGTATATGGCAAGAGCTACTGTACATTCAGAGCATCCTGTCCATGTAGCAGCCTTGACTGTGGTTGAACATGCTTCCTTCTTAGCCAAGTGTTATTTCTATAGTGCCATAAGTGTATAAAATAATTCAAACAAATAAATACTGACATGTCCATGTTCCCAGGAGCTTATATTTAAAAAGTAGCAGCTTGCCACTATCAATTAATAAGCATTAGGAGAAGAGGCTGATACTGTGGCTACACTAGAGAGCTTTGCGCCCTGTAAACACGTTAATGTAGCCGCTCTAAGACGACAGGAGAGAGCTCTCTCATCGGCTTAATTACGCCAACCCTGCGAGCAGTGGTAGCTATGTTGGTGGAGAGATGTTCTCCGGCCAACATATGCTGACTTAATTTAGTGCTGTCCAAATTGGCATTTATGTCACTCAGGGGGTTGGCTAATTCACACCCCTGATCGACATTACTTATGTCAACTTAAGCTGTAATATAGCCGGAGCCTCTGTCATTCAGAAAAAGGAACACCCGATGCATTGCCGCTTCTCTTCAACCCATCCCACTTATCCTTCTATTACTTCTTGTTTACTGCTGTTCTTCTCCACTGTCCCGTAACATTATATCACTCGGTTTCAATACAATCGCAGGTCCAATTAACCAACTGAAGAGGAAGAGGATCTCAGATGACTTCCTCAAAGATACAATGCATTATCTTAGGAGAATACCCATTAGTAGACAGCATGTCTTACCACTAAGGAAAGACACAGCCAGCATACTGGCAACACATCAGCAAATGAACACTGTTTGGGAACAATCATTTCAACTGGCTGGTGTAGTCATGCCTACATATTGTTTCTCCTGCCAGAACTGAAGGTACTCTTAGCTCTATAATATCCTAGCACTGTCAGATATTTTTGTTTACAGAACTGGTTCACAATATCAGTGAACCTCCCAAAAATCACTGGAAGATTTCTAGTGACAAAAATAAGAGTTAAAACATCAGCAAACACAGGATAAAGAAATTAACTTCTGGGGTATTCCAATCACACTAAGGAGTTGTTTTTCTTAGGGCATGTCTTCACTAACATCTGTGAAGTCACGGCACCAGTGCTGGGAGAAAGCTTTCCCAGCGCTACAAAACAACAAAAAAACAACCCACCTCCATGAGGGGAATAGACACCAGCGCTGGGAGAACTGTCTACACTGGCACTTTACAGTGCTGAAACCTGCAGCACTCAGAGGGGTGTTTTTTCACACCCGAGCGAGAAAGTTGCAGTGCTGTAAAGTGCCAGTGTAGATAAGCCCTTAGAAAGCCTCTAGGCTACAGAGCTACTGAGAGATGTTGCATTACGCAAGGGGTGAAAATGGTTTGAGTACTTTTGATACATAGAAAAGAGAGAAACTTACCTTTAAGGGCTATTCTCAAACACCTTCATCCTGGAATTTAAAGGTCAGCCTTCTCAGGCTGTGTTAAAACAATCATCTACTCTCAAAAGAAAAGCTGAAAGGAGTATACTATGGAAGAGATTTTGCTAGGCAGTTGGGAGTTAGACTGACTACACAGTAGAATCAGATGAACAGTTATTTTTAGTTTCTCTCTCACGGTGACAAAGGCATCCACTTAGCAGAGAAGCCTGTCTCTATGACTAACGCTTTCAAATTTATGTAAAGTATAACTCAATTTTCTGTACTTAACTACAGTTTCCTTTTATCATCCCAATTTATCTGAGGGCCCTTAGATACCTTCTAGCAACACTAAAATGTTGGGACTAGAGATCAAAGGCTAATCTAAGGTGGGGCAATATCACAGTTGTGTCACTGCTTAACTGAGACAGAGTCTTAACTGTTGCACATCTCATACTTAAACTCACTGACAAGGGAGGTCAGTATGCCATTATTCTTCAAATAAGGTGAAGAGAATGGTGCTTTTATTTCTCTCAGTATCTCTTTAGTAACAAGTTTGGTCCCCTGCATGTGGGATATTTACCTTACCAAATATAGTAATATGCATCTCTATTGTGCTTCTCAAAGGACTTAAAGCTTTAAGCATCCACACCTCCGAGATATTACCTCATTTCACAGAAACAAACACAGAGGTTAAGCAACTTGCTAATGTCACACACACACACAGGTATTTAACTGGGAATGTAACTCAGGAGTCAAGGTCTTTAATATTAGTTAGCAATGGAAAGTTAAAATCAAGAGTTTCAATACCTGCATTGTGAAATGTGTCTACCCATCCCCCATCACCATCATCTTCTTCTATAATTGCTTCCAGTTCATCTGAATACTCCATCTGTTTACACCGCTTGTAGCATGGCACTGTAAAGATCAGCAAACTCTTACAAGTAATAGGATAATTGCAATCACATACTAGACAGAGCAGAAACAAACTCACTCTACAAAGCATTCTGCAGTGAATAAGCTTCCCCCAGCCCCTATTTGCTCTCTGTCGTACAATTTTTTTTTAAATAGGTTAAAAATACAAATGTAGACAAAATATCTTTACATTATACAATTTCAGTACATTTGGGTTAATCTTTTAGGATTTCCAACCTTAATTATTCACATGAATTTAGTGCAGGGGAAGGCAAGATGATACTTGGACTCTAGTTAAAGAGCTGGTACATTCCAGGCAGTGGTCACACAATCATCTTACATTTTTCTGCCACTTGGCATTGTGCCTCAACCCTGACCTGTAAGGGTCAGAAGGGAGTGTGAGTCTCCAGATTTTCTGAGACTGCCAACCATTTGGTGGTATCTGGGACCTACCTATCCATTTGTTTCAGGCATTTCACTGAGCAGCTTTTAGTCAGTGCAGATCTTGGCTGAATTTGAACATGCAACTTTTACTAGTTATCTGCTGGGCAGACTTCCACTTAAAGTTCATTAGTCATGTAAGTTACAGATCAGTTTGTCACCTGGAAAACTGCTGTTAACAGTAACATGGTTATTTAACAAGATTAGTTTACTGTCAATCATATGCATATGTACAAGTTGTGCTTTCTAAAATAAGGCTTTGTCTACACTAGCATTTTTATTGGCAAACTTTTTGTCAGTCAGGGGTGTGGAGGGAAAAACCCCCCCCCCCCGACCAACGTACGTTGCACCAACAAAAGCGCTGGTGTGGACAGCTCTATGTCAGCGGGAGAGCGTCTCCCGCCAACATAGCTACCGCTGCTCATTGGGGGTGGTTTAATTATGCCTCTCCTGTTGGCATAGAGCGACTACACAAGAGATCTTAGGGGCACAGTAAAAGTTTGCGTAATAGTACATATCTGATTTAAAGGCAAAACTGACCTTTTCATTAATATAAATAGAAAGATTATGGCTGCAACACTCAAACCCAGCCCTGGAGAAGAGAATTAGTACACAAGAGCTACACTTCATAAGCTGACTGTAGACCTTCTACAAAAAACAGGACATGGGGGCAGGGTCAAAATGAAAACTAGAGGCCAACTCCCTGGAAACTGGTTAGTAGGGTGCTCTGTGGCATCTTTTCTGCAAGCATTTAACTTAAGTCAGAGGTTACCAGTATACCGTGGTCCCAGACGACTGAGCGCAAGAAACATGGAATCCTGGATTTTCTTCCTCTGAAGAGTGACCAGGAGAGAAAGGGCACCAGAAGACCCCACAGAAATTGCAAGTACATCACTTAGCCATGCTGTCATTGCTATTGCCTGCATAGCAAGTTCATTGCAACTGTAGGCAGCACTGGGGGGTGGGGTGGTAAATAATTCAATTATGTCCTCTGCAGACCACAGGGCATTCCACTGGCCCACTGAGGATTTCAAGTCTCCAAAATGGGCAAGTCAAGTCAAAGCATGGAATGCCACCTTATGAGGCCATAATTCCTTGTTGCAGGCCTTCAATTACATAGTTTTTGCAAGCCAGAACTGAGGGGGCTACATTGGCATTTTTGCTATAGACAAAATTTGACACAAAAGACAATGTTTCTTTTGTGAAAAGAAAGCTTCCCCCATAGTTTTGGCTCAGGTGCAAGTTTTCCTCTTTTTTAGAAAGTGGGGCAGTCAGCACTACCATTATACAATGCTTTAATTTTGTGACCATCAGTTGAGCTGTTTCACAGCAGAATTCTGCAGTTTCACTAATATGGTGATCTGAGTTACACGGTTTGCATGAGATTAAAAGTATGAGTGTTACCAAGTAAAGCATTTTGGAATACCTTTAGTAAGCCAGGAAGAACCAGAAGATCCAGTATTGGGGAGGGTGAAGGAAGAAGATTTTTAAGTTAAAACCTCACCATTGCTAACCATTGTGTGTGGAAGGGCGGGGGGAGAGAGGCAGAGGATTAGAGGAAGCAAGCAAGCAAGGAAAGAGAAGGAGGGCTATTTAGTAAGTGTTTCTGGACTTAAAGGTTTCAATTTCACAATCCAAGCTGCAATGCTGACCCCAAGCATATATTTATCATCTTCATGCTCGGTGACGACAGATTCTGTGAGGAGAGAGATCTGGATACTCAAGTTCAGACAATCTGCTGCTTGTGTCACCACAAAATTAAAATGCAGAAGATACAAGGGAAGTTTAGTTTCCATTATCAATTTTATGTATAGGGTATAATTTGGGTGCACAAGCATAGAATCATAGAATATCAGGGTTGGAAGGGACCTCAGAAGGTCATCTAGTCCACCCCCCTGCTCAAAGCGGGACCAACCCCAACTAGATCATCCCAGTCAGGGCTTTGTCAAGCCAGGCCTTAAAAAGCTCTAAGGATGGAGATTCCATCATCTCCCTAGGTACCCCATTCCAGTGCTTCACCACCCTCCTAGTGAAATTTTTTTTCCTAATATCCAACCTAAACCTCTCCCGGGTTGCGAGCTGCCAGCCTCCACCCCAAACCCCACTTTGCCTCCAGCATTTACAATGGTGTTAAATATATAAACAAGTGTTTTTAATTTATAAGGGGCGGGGGGGTCACACTCAGAGGTTTGCTGTATGAACGGGGTCACCAGTACAAAAGTTTGAGACCCACTGGGCTAGAGGGACCGTTGGTGCCCCATATGCAGCTCCGGGGGTCTGGATTCTCCCCCTATCAGGCACTGGCTTGACCCAGCATCCGTCCGAGGAAGCCTGGGGAAGGAGGTCTCCGGAGAAAAGCACAGGCTGTAGCTGGTGCTTTCAGCGTCACTCCCGGGTCGGGACTGGCCCCATCTCCTCCAGGAGGAGCTGTTCTGGACAGCGCCAGATCCTCCACTGGTGGACAGTGGCCAAGAACCGAGCCGGGGGCAGAAAGGGATGGGGGATGTGGAGGGAGGTTAGGGTGCCTTCGAAGAGCTGGCTGCAACTCCCTGCTGCGCCACACTCCTGCCGCTGCCACTGCGTGCCTCAATGTTCCCCTTTGTGGTCGCAGAGGGGTGCTGACTCCATGGAACTATGGCTCTTGGGGTCCCACTGATGATCTGGCCCCCAAAATCCAGGGTGATTAAAAATCAGGAGAAGCGGGGGAGGGTCAGAGATCTCCACTGAGCTGAGGCTGGGTTTATGCTCCTTTCTATTTCCCTCACCAGGATTTAACTTAAATGTTCTAATAGGCCTACAATTATTTTCCCCTCAAGTCATTCACAAGAGCTGTACTGCATTCAACTCTACTAAGAGTCATTCTTACCATTTTTAGTTACCAAAAACTGTTTGTCTGTTGGCAGATAAGCCTTGACCTTTAATTCTTCTCCTGAAGCCCTTTAAAAAAAGCATACCACAAAAAAGTGAAAACTTGTTTTGTAGACAAGAACACTTCTATTTTCATTCTGTGTGGCCAGAAGACAAAAATACCACCTTCCTGCTTCGGTTTGAGATTAGTAACTACCACATATGTAGTAGCAGAACTTGAGATAGGTTGTTTTTGCAGTATCTCTTTGCAATTTGAAATGTACCAAGCTGACCAATGAGGTGATCCCAAGTGTGAGCAGGAAGGGGCTGGGAAGAAGTATATTTAAGAGCTTTCAGCAGAATCGCCTCACAACCTATTGTGACTCTTGCCATGCTGACAAATCTAAATCTACTAATCGTATATTGCCCACATGCATTGGTTTTTGGCTTGAACAATAATAATCTAGACACTAATGTCATGTTCTATCCACTAACCATTTCATGATTTATTTTTGTGATGCAAGAAAGATCCTGTTAAAATGTACTGAATACATTTTTTGTACATTCTCATTGCATTCCAGAGGTTAAAAAAAAGCCTTCTCAGAGTGATTATGGCATGTACATTCAGAGACAGACCAGCATTTTCTGATCTATAACTCAGCTGGATATGGACTCAAGATCAAATTTAAGTAGTGTAAGCTATTGTTTTTAATATGTAGGTTACATCAAGGCAATGACTTTACAAGTAGCCCTTTGTAATTTCAGTAACTCTCTGCCACCATGACAGAGAACATGATCTCAAGACTTCAGATTCCCAATAACCAACGGAGCCAAGAAAGGCCCAAGGGAGAATGAGCCTGCTATTACCATTAGAAATTGAAAGTATTCATACCAGAGTGGTCTGTTCAGAGAAACCATCCTGACTGCAGCTACAAATGGTAGCTAATACAAAAGCCTCCTCCCCAAAAGTGACTGTAATTTGGATCATGACAAAGATATCAATGGCATGGGTTCTACTGCCAGAGTTCATGTCTAGATTTAGTTCTCATCTACGTTAAATTGAGATATACCATACATTTTTGCATCTGATGCAAATGTAATATGACAAAAAAAACTTGCTGTTCCTCTAGCTTTCCGCACCTCTAGCTCTTTGTGCTTCATTCTCTTTTACTTACCATTGCCAAGTAGGACAGTGGTGAACTAAATGGTCTCCAGCTGCCACAAACTGTTTGGGCACAAAGAAAAAAGTGAAATATGTATGTAGTATAAGGAAACTCTTATAAACTTGAGCAATATTAACATTTCAGTTGTACAGAGATCACATTTTTGTAAGTGTGTTCAATGTAATCTTTATAGCGCTTTATGCTTTAGAGATGCAGTGAAAAGAAAAAGCATCTGTTTCCTCCAACTGGTGTAGACAGACACTGACTGATTTCTTTCATCTCGAGGAACCATGCAGTAAAGAGAGTCATAACTGCAAAGATGGACAGAACTTCCAAGAGTTTTCTCTATACCTTATGGCAAACCCGAAGAGGTTTATGAACATTTACCAGGCTAGATAAAATATACTTGTTGTCATAAATATAAAGGGAAGGGTAACCACCTTTCTGTATACAGTACTATAAAATCCCTCCTGGCCAGAGGCACAAAATCCTTTTACCTATAAAGGGTTAAGAAGCTCAGGTAACCTAGCTGGCACCTGACCAAAAGGACCAATAAGGGGACAAGATACTTTCAAATCTGGGGAGGGGGAAAAGGTTTTGTTTTGTCTGTTCTGTGTGCTTGCTGAAGACAGATCAAGAAGGCAAGCAATCCAACTCAGTTAGAATTAGTAAGTAATAATAAGGGAATGTGTTAGCTTACTTTTATTTTGGCTTGTAATTTTCCTTGTCTAGAGGGAGGTTTTTGTCTAGAGGGAGATTTATCCCCAGATTTGTAACTTTAAGAGGATCTCCTCTCTAGGCAAAACCTATGTTCTTGAGTTTTTTGTTATTCTGTAAAGTACTTACCATCCTGATTTTACAGAGGTAATTATTTTACCTTTTCTTTAATTAAAATTCTTCTTTTAAGAACCTGATTGATTTTTCATCGTTTTAAGATCCAAGGGTTTGGGTCTGTGTTCACCTGTACCAATTTGTGAGGATATTATTCTCAAGCCTCCCCAGGAAAGGGGGTGTTGGGGCTTGGGGGATTATTCTCAAGCCTGCCCAGGAAAAGGGATGTAAGGGCTTGGGGGGATATTTGGGGAAGGTAGGGCTCCAAGTGGCCCTCCCTAAATGTTTGTTTGTTTAAATCACATGGTAGTGGCAGCGTTACTTAATCCAAGGAATAGGGGAGTTTTAAACCTAAGCTGGTAAAAATAATCTTAGGGGGTCTTCATGCGGGTCCCTACGTCTGTACCCTAAAGTTCAGAGTGGGGAGGAAACCCTGATACTTGTTCACTCCACTATGAAGACAGTGGTGAAAAAAGCTAGTTTTATTTGCCCATGGGGAAAGTTTACTCTCTCCTATATCAGGATTTGACAAGGCTGCTTTATTAAATAAATGCTTGTTATAGTTAGCAGTACAGGCAAGTAGAATTTGGATTGACATTTATTTTTTGTGAAAGCTTTTCTTTTTTAAAAAATACCCAAATAGAAGTATTTCCTCATTCTCAAATTTTAACTAGAAGTTCTTAAAAACATTTCCCTGCAGTGTTCAAAACCAAACACTGCAACATGAAGAAACTGAAAGTGAAACGGACATCACTTATTCACTGTTAAAGTCGAGAGAAATGCAAGAAGTGGATACAAGTAGTATAGTATGGCAGTGCCCAGAGATGCCAATCATGAATGAATATCAAAGTGTGCTAGATGCAGTGAAAACATGAAAATAGGTCCCTTTCCTGAAGAGTTAGATTTTTAAAACTCTCTTTTAATAAACTGTTAATAGTAACTGAGATAAAGAAATTTCTTAATTATGTTTCTAGTATATTTTAAAAAACAACAGCATTTAAGAGCTACATAGAGTGAATATTAATGCAGTCTCATCCAATCATTTATTTGTCCCTTTATTCTGTTCATAATGGGAAGGAACAGCTGAAGTTTTAAAGCCATAGTGAATTTGTTTTGCTTGTTCTTTACAATGTTATTAGTTTTGCAAATGACTTACACATCTGTTGTTCCAGCTGCTTCCCCATTTTAAAATACTATTTCACAGTAACATGCTACTCAGCTGACTGAAACCCATTGCAGAATGGCGTCACAGTCTATAGTACACCTCTACCCTGATATAACGCTGTCCTCGGGAGCAAAAAAAAATAAAAAAATCTTACTGCGTTATAGGTGAAACCGTGTTATATTGAACTTGCTTTGATCCGCCGCAGTGCGCAGCCCCGCCCACCTGAGCACTGCTTTACCGCGTTATATCCGAATTGTGTTATATTGGGTCGCGTTATATCAGGGTAGAGGTCTACTTGCACGGACTTTTTGTAGAATCAAATCACGTTGTATGCCTAATGTCCAGGGAACAACCAAAGTTCAGGATAGGGGCATCTGGTCCATTATTTGAAATGTATCCTACATGTAAACGTTAACGAAACATTTTTTTTAAATAATTGAGTGAAACAAGTATGATGTGTTTTATTCTATGTAAATCTGTTCCAGCAAAGGATCAGTTTATAACTTCTATGCTTTTATAAAAAAGTGAGAATAGTTGTCAGGCAAATTAACTATTGGATTAAGTGCAGATATAAGGGTCTGAATATAATTAAACAATTTTATATTCCTTTTAATCTTTGTAAGCACTTTGGGGGATGAAACACCATAGAAGGCTGTACAAACAAAGCAACTACTCTAATACCCATACTGAATCAAGATGGTCTAGTTTGCACAATACTACTTCTGACACAGGGCTAAACTCCCCCGTACCTTGTTAAACCCCATGTTTTGGCCCAGAAACTAAAGTGAATTTTCATTTGAGTAGTTTCCTCCAGTTCATACTACTTGGGGAAGGGCAGGATCCCCCTTCATCTAATGGAATGGGTAGTTACATTTGATACCCTAAACTTGCAGATACACCCCTACTCCAATATAACCCTGTCCTCAGGAGCTAAAAAAAATCTTACCGCGTTATAGGTGAAACTGCATTATATCGAACTTGCTTTGAACCACCAGAGTGCGCAGCCCCGCCCTCCCGGAGCACTGCTTTACCGCGTTATATCCAAATTCGTGTTATATCGGGTTGTGTTATATCGGGGTAGAGATGTATATAGTTTGGCCAACCATTTTCTCTTGTGCTCCAAAAACAATGCTAGTCAGCATAACAAAAATATCACAACATTTGTTCAGTATGGATAATAGATTTACTCCATGGAAAAGTAATTTCCTCTTTCTAGGAAAATGTCTGGAGACTGACCTCTATTAAAAGTAAAGTTTTACCGTAATGGGGAAAACAGTTTAAAAAAATTAAAAAAAAGAAAAAAAATACAGGGAAGACCTATAAAGCCATTCACTCATACATGAGAACACTCTGTATAATGTAGAAAACTGCAGCATTCCTTATAATCCTGTACTTGTTTAAAACACTTGAATGGATTGCTTGTAGAAGTGAGGAAAATAGGTACATCCTAACCATTTTAATGACATCGTCAACATAAGATGTCATTTTAAAGTGTTTTCTTACCTGGGTTAACCCTGTAAATTACTAAAATGAACTTTAAATCTCATTTGCTTTTCATCCTTCAGTTTTTACAGTGAAACTAAGGCAGTCAGTTTCACTTTGATTTCCATGAAGTAGTCCTGTGAACATAGGTTTGTGTTCACAGTACTGCAGGAAAATGTTTAACTTAAACATCCTTAAATATGTTAATACAAATAGTTTTCAGTAAGTGTACATTTAAAATTTCATAAAAGTAAGTCTGGTGGTGTCCTTTTGAAATGTTACTAGCAATGATTTAACAGAATACTCATGTGACATCCAAAAAAAGAGCTAAAATGAATTCAAATATCTGTTGATATACTAGAAACAAGAAGAGGCAGGATAGGAGTTTAGCTAGGTGATGCAGTGGGTAAACTAGCTAGCTAGCCACCTCAAGAGATATGATTAGACCTAGCTTTAGACCATAGGACCAAGTCACAAAACTGCCATAGAATTCATCATAATTTGCAATCAGCATTTCAGAGACAAAAGATTGGAACAACAACAACAACAACAAAAATGCAAGCCTGGAATTGAAATGCATTAGCAAGGTGGTACAAGTTTGTGGGCCAGCAAAACATGAGTTATCTGGCAGTAGGTACCCCTTCATTGCTTGTTTGCGTTACAGTTCACTGACACTCTCAAAGAGAGCACATGGGCGCTACCATTAAAGAGACAGCCTCTTATACACCTGACAGAATTTCTCTTTAAGAGCTACAACTCCTAGAACGATTAGGGATAGTGGAGGAAGATTTTTCAGAAGCACAAATGGCAGTTGACCCTTAAAAATCCTACCCTATATTGGTTAAGGCACCCAATCTTGGTGCAATGATTCACTACTTTACTCCTCTGACCATCTGCTTTACTATGGTCTGTTTCCATAGAGAGAAGACACCCTGTTAAAGCAGGTCTCTCACTGGTTCTTTTTGACCCACCTCCACTTTCCCTCTCCACACCCCTGCAGAAAATAAACTCAGCTATGGAAACCTACCAAATGGCCAAACAAAGAACCAACCAAAAATCAGTTCCTCCATGGAGCTAAAGATTGAGGTTATCTCAGTACATTTGAAGATACTTTATGTGGGTCTCTTAAGACACAATGTTGCCTAAAAAAGAAACACTTTCACAGCGATTAATTTATTTTAGAAGACTCAGAGCTGTTCTGTGCATCTTAATAACATGGGTCACGTTTATGAAGACAGAGTCAGAACCAGAGGCCCAACTGATACAACATACACCAAGGCAGAGTTAGAATAAAAAGCCGTAGCTCTTTGAAAGCAAATTACCAAGATACATGGAGAGCACATGAGCTCTCAACCTCTTGGGAATCACTACCCTTGAGTCTAGAGCAGTGGTCCCCAACCTTTTCAGCGTGGCAGGCGCCTGACAACTAGCCGCCAAAGAGCGCGGCCGCCGGACAAGCAGCAGCTGAAATGCCGCCGTGAAGTGGCAACGCGAAGAAGCGTCGCTGCTGAAATGCCGCCGAGAAGCAGCGGCATTTCGGCAGCGACGCTTCTTGACGTTGCCGCTTCTCGGCGGCAGGGTCCTCCCTTGTCAGTAGGTGGGCACCATGGCGCCCGCGGGCACCACGTTGGGGACCACTAGTCTAGAGGACAGGCAATCTCCTTACACATCCTGCAAGAAGAATGTATGCCATATGTCACACCAATGGTCCATTAAATCTAAGGTCCTGCCTCTGGCATGGATTTATATCTGAGGTTGCAAACAGCAAAGACTCCAGTGCATATAGCCAGCTGACCCAAAAGGGAAACCCCTTCTAATTAGGCACTCCTGTGCAGCTTTTCCCCACAGATGATAGGGCTAAGTGTCAGTGGTTCAGAGTTATCTAGAATTTTTTTGGGTGGTCACCGTGAAGTTAGAAGAAAATAAACACAACTACCTCAAAAGATTGTTTAGCACTAAACAAATTGGTTAATTCTATAGTACTCCAGCAGGCTAGCAAAAATGATCTCCTCTGGCACATAGTGTAGCTCAGTAGAAATGTTTCAGATGCCAATATTGGTATAATATTTCTGCCTCATTTATCTTCCTATGTTATTTGTCTGCCTTGCCACCACTATCTTCATTTTTGTCTGATTCTGTCTCCTTCCTTCTCTGCATTTGTCTTTACCTTACCTCTCTCCTTCATCCTCCCTACTTTCATTTTACTCTTTTGTAGTCTCTGCGTAGACAGTTTCAGAGACAACAGTTTTCAAACGCTAGCCCTTCCCATCCTTGTGTGAAGAGGAGGAAAACCAAAAAACACCATTGCATTCGATACAGAGAAGAAACAGGCCAGGAATTTGTAATCCTGGTTTCCTTTTACAACAGACTCCTTTGTAAGCTGCTACTACAGGCACTTACTGGAAACATGGCCAAGCTAAGGGCAGCCTATAGAGGAGTACAGAAAAATGCTTGTGCATGGCAGGTGGCCAACAATATGTTGTGACCCCACCACACACTCAGCAGCAGGTGAATAAAACATATGGCGGTCCCTGGATTGCTTAACGGAGGCGGAGTTTTCAATCCAATGAACTCTTTCCTGCTCCAACTTCAATGCAAAATGGAGCTGCTGACCCAGGAAAACCAAACCATCTAAACCAGAGGTGGGCAAATTTTTTGGGCCAAGGTCCACATCTGGGTGGGGAAATTGTATGCAGGGCAGTGGTTGGGGTGCGTGAGGGGGCGCGGTTGCAGGAAGGGGCTCAGGGCAAGGGATTGGGGCAGAGGAGGAATGTGGGGTGTATGAGGGGGCTCAGGAAGGGTGCGGGGTGTATGAGGGGGCTCAGGGCAAGGGTGCAAGAGGGGTGCGGATGGTGAGAGGCGGCTCAGGGCAGGGGGTTGAGGTACAGGAGGGGTGCGGGGTATATGAGAGGGCTCAGGGCAGGGAGTTGGGGGGCAGGGTACAGGAGGGGTTCGGGCTCTGGCCCCACTTACCTCAAGCGGCTCTGGGGTGGCAGCAGCGCGCACTGGGACCAGGGCAGGCTCCCTGCCTGCCCTGTCCCCGCCCCGGAAGCGCTGCAGCCCCTGGGGGAGGGAGGCAGAGGGCTCCGCGTATGTTGCCCTTGCTGCACCTCCAGGTACCTCCCCCGAAGCTCCCATTGACCGGGGTTCCCCATCCCCGACCAATCGGAGCTGGGGGGGGGAGGAGGCGGTGCCTGGAGGTAATGCCCAGAGCCCTCTGCCCCCCTGCCAAGAGGCCGCTGGCGGTGTCGCAGGCCGGATCCAAAGCCCTGAGGGGCCGGATCCAGCCCGCGGGCTGTAGTTTGCCCACCCCGATCTATACAATGTTCAGAGAAGGGTGGGTTCTCCCTCAGCCTATATTAGGATGCCTAGGGCTTGCGCCCCAAACTCCATTCCAAGAGGAATTCTGTTGCTGACAGACTCCAACAGCAGAAATACTTTGCACATAGTAGTAGCTATCACATCCTCAAATTTTCACTAAGTTAGCAGTTGCAAGAGTCAATTTAAGATTGATTATAATGTTATGGCAACTTTTACCACAAGTTATTACTATTTTAATAGCTTCCTTAAGTACATTTTATAAGTTCTGAACACTCACCTCTTCAGGAGTGATGACTCCAGTTTCTTTAAACTTTGACTCCTAGAATAAAGACAATTCAGAAACATTTATATCTCTGTTGACATTTGAATCCCACTCTCCAAGGCTGAAGAAACTCTGCTAGGCTCTGGTCCTGCAACTGTTTCTCTCTAGGTCAGCAATTCTCAAACTGTGGGTTGTGACCCCATTTTAATGGGTTCACCAGAGCTGGCTTAGACTTGCTGGGATCCAGGGCCGAAGTCCGAGGACTTCAGCCCTGGGTGGCGGGGCTCAGGTTATAGGCCACCTGCCTGGAGCTGAAGCCCTTGGGCTTCAGCTTTGGCCCCCCACACCACCCATGGCAGTGGGGCTCAGGCTTTGGCCCTTTCACCCAGTGTGGTGGGGCTCAGGCGTCAGTCCCTGCTCCTGGGCTCCTGTAGTAATTTCTGTTATCAGAAGGGGGTTGCGGTGCAATGAAGTTTGAGAACCCCTGCTATAGGTAGCTCTGTGCACCAGCTTGAGGGCAGTTGTGGGGTCAGTACCCTAGTTTGTAGCCAGCCTGCATCCATTTTCTATAGCACAGAACATTAGCAAGGAAGTAGTTCTTTGCAGAATCCAAGAGGTTATCAGAACTGCCACATAACTAAAGCATATTTTTCTGCAATTATAAACAGTTCAGTTGGCTAATAGGAGAGCTCCTGTGATCAATGCTATACTTGCTTAAGAGGCAGAAAGCCAATCAGAACCAGGCACTCTCAGCCATGATTTGTGTAGCTGCCCTAAGTACTAAACTAAAAAATATTAACGTAATGCATCAGTTTGAGATTACAAAAAGCAAAGAAGTCCAGAAATGACAAATGATTGTTCCCACTGCCAATGTGCCTTGGACCCATTCTGTAGAGATTTTATTATTTGCTTTTTTGGTGTATATATCCATCCCTTTATTGTGCGCCACGTGGAAACAGTTTTGAGTTTCTTGAATTTTCTCATGCTGTTTTCATTAACTTGTTCTCGGTTTGGACAAGGTACATTGCTATCTATAAGATTTCAGTTTACTTTTGCATTCAGACAGACATTTAGAAAGTTTGTTAAGTGTAAAGAACAGGTGTAATTCATGCTCATGTAAACCCAGAATACACAGAAAATTTTAGACTCCAGAAGAAATAACATCAGCACTGAAAGACCAGAAGTTTTCCCCCGTAATTTTAAGACTACCCAAGAATGAGAGAACCAGTAGTTATCCATATTTGGGATGTGCCACCCATCACCGTAATATTTGTGGTGGATTTCCTTTCTACTGCCCTGAACAGCCCTCAGATTTCATCATCAAGTCTCAGGCCTCTTTTCAACCAGTACTCTGACTCTAGGCTACACTTCCATCCTGTTCAATCCTCCAACATCATTCAGTCTTCAGTTAAGCATACATTCTACTGCCTCCACTGCCAGAGTTAATTGCCATAGATGCACAGCATGGGGCACAAAGTCCGAGGATGTCCAAATTGTCTCCTTCTAACAAGGAAGCTGAAAAAAGCAAAGTCTTCATATAAGCAATCTAGTCTCTCTCCTCCCCCTGCCCCCCCAAAGATGAAGGAAAAAAATATAATTTAAGTGCATGATTCAGATGAGACAGGCAAAACTCTTGTTGTACCACTGCGAGACAATAGAATATCAACACTGCATGCCAATGAAAATTCTCCTTTTAAGAGTTTGGAATAATACATAAATCTCAAGACTTTATGGCAGTACATTGTGTTACCGTATCAAAGTCTCAGAATGCAATGACCTTAGGACTCATTCCCAAGGTGCATCATATAGCACATACAAGTCTGAGATCCTGAGAGTGGGTGGGGCCAAAAATAGACCAGCCTGGATCTCCTGTCAATTTAGTGAAGTGTAAAAAGCTTAGCTTCTTTAGAAGGCAAGGCTACATTATGCTGCATTCCTAGTGGGTATTTTTAAAATCCCATCCATCTGTAGTAGAAAGAGAGCCTGAAGCAGAGGCCTGGTCCAAGACCTGAATCAAAGTCAGCAAAAGTTATGCTTTGAGCAAAAGTCAGGCCCTCTCAAAAGGAGATGCTTGCCTGTAAGTTCACTGTTCGGTACATGAACTCGACGCCAGTACTGCTAGCGTTGCTAAAATATACTGATTATGTAAATACATTCCCGCAGGCTAGGACAAGAACACCCCAACCTAGCACACGATAAGATGGCTTGACAGAAGTGATGACTAGTGATGTTTTGTCTAAAACATCAGGAGAAAGGTACAAGGGGTGGTAATAAACATCATGAAACACGTAAGGTAATACTGTATGCAAGTTGTTTATCTCAGATGGTTTGTTTCAGTCTATAAATGCTGGAATGCTTCACCTTAACCCTTTGTCCAGCTGCTGGTTCTCTGTCATGGGCAAACATGTATTAAGTTTACCCGTAGCACATATACGGAACTAATACTGTGCTTTGTTGGCAATAAACCTGGCCTAGCGCTTTCACCACTGAACAGTCTGTGGTCTTCTTGGGCAGTTCAATCGAAGTCTGCTGTGCGAGCTATCTTGTCAGAGCCTGTGCAGCACTCAGCAAGAACACACACAGAGCCAACAATTCACACCACAATTCATTTAGTTTTCAATTGTTGTTTTGTAGCATTCCAGTCTCTCACAACAAGCTATTCAAAGTGCAAGGATAGTGAACAGCATGTGTCTTCCTTTAATACAATGTGTTACAGGGGTTAGACGGGGAAATTTGAAGTTAGAACTCCTGGGTTCTATTTCTAGCACAGCAAGTGTCCCGTTCAGTAAACTTAAACAAGTCACTTCAACTCCCTGTGCCTCAGTTTCTGTCTCTATACTCACAGTTATAGTGATGGGCAATGTTCCAAAAACTTAGTTAAAACATGGACACCCTAATATTTACTTCACAGGGGCAAGAAAATTTGGTTATGAATGAAGAATGCTATAAAGTGGTCTACAAACAAAGATCTCTGATGTGAAGTACAAAATATGTAAGGAAGTTACATTATAGAAGCCTGAAATGATCAAGAGGAATGCGTTTTTGTTTTTTCCCTTAAAAGGGTCCCAGTAGAAACAACTCTTCTGAAAGCATGCAGTAAAGATCTGAAAGCAAAACTGTCTTCACTGTTTTCATTACCTGGACTGAGGAAAATCCAGAGACTAAACTGACAGGAAGAGAAGAGAATGGGGATTTTTTAAAAAAATCATCAGTTTTAATACCAGGGATTATTAGTAACAGAGGCAAGAATACTTTGCAGTAGGACAACTACATGTAACAAAGAACTAAAGTGACAGAAGTACCTGCATGTGTCACAGCTACATAAAGCACAGAAGTAGATAAAAGTATTTGCACATTACAAGGGTTTGGCAAGTATTAGACTAGGTCTAACAGAGCAACTAGACACCCACAGCAAGCACATGCCAGCTGCAGTAGTTTAGCTACTGTGTAGATATAGCCTTATTTAAAGGCCTTGCCAACACACAAAAATTGTACTGCTTAAACTACACTGGTATAATAAGAGTGGTACAATCCTCCTGCCAACCCACGGAGTGTGGACTCAGTTATACCCAGGTGCTTATACCAGCATAGTTTTTTCTCTATAAAGGAAGGGGAACAAGCTATAGTGGTATAAGGGCACGTCTTCACTACCCGCCGGATTGGCGGGTAGCAATCGATCTATTGGGGATCGACTTATCGTGTCTAGTGAAGACGCGATAAAAATCGATCACTGATCGCTCTGCTGTCGACTCCGGAAATCCACCGCGGCAAGAGGCGGAAGCGGAGTCGACGGCGGAGCGGCAGCGGTCAACTCACCGCCATCCTCACAGCCAGGTAAGTCGACCTAAAATACGCAACTGCAGCTACGCTATTCACATAGCTGAAGTTGCGTATCTTAAGTCAACCCCCGCCCCGGGTAGTGTAGACCTAGCCTCAGGCACCTAGGGTGACCAGATAGCAAGTGTGAAAAACAGGACAAATTTTTGGGAGGAGACAAGGAAGCTATAGTTATGTATAAAGACAAAGCCCTTAGTATCAGGGTGGTGCTGATAATATCAGGACATCTGGTCACCCTAAAGGCACCTTTCCACCCATGAAACTGCACCTAGACTAGTACAACCCCTAGTGTAAACATCTCAGTACAAAGTCACGCCCCTAACCAACACAGCAACACCGGCACCAGAACTGTCATCGCCCAGGCCTAGGAGCCGGTACCCGAGGGCAAGTCACCGTTAAAGGCTCCCTGCCCACTTGTAGCCTAGCTTGGGGGACCAGCCGGGCCCCTCAGTGTCCAGGCTGCGCCCGCCGCCGCCTCCCGGCCTGGAGCAGAGCGAGCTCCCTCCCCGCGCTGTGACAGCCCCGCAGGCCCCGGGGCCCCGCTGGCGGGACATGCACATGAAGGCGACACGGGGACGGAGCAGGCTGGGGGGCGTTTCGCGGCTCTCGCTGGGACACCAGCCTGCCCCAGACACTAGCGGGCTACGCCGCCGCGGGAACCGCTCGGGGGGGGGGGTGTCCGACGGGAAGAGGCACCTCCGGGCCCACCCCCTCCCCCGAGGTCAGGCTGCGGCGGCCCCACCGGGCGGTACCTTGAGCACGGGAGTGAGGTACTCGGCCACCTCCAGCGCCTTCCCCTTCACCGTGTTGATGACGTTCTGCATCCTGCCGGCGCGCGCGGGGGTCCCTAACGCCCACAGCCCCGCTCGCGCCACGAGCCTTCAGCAGCGCCCACCGCCAACCAGAGTCACATGACCTGTTCTCCCCCACGCACGTGATACAGAAGTCTAGAGAGGGAAAAGCTCCGCTCACAGCTTTATGCTTGCTCGGCAGATTGCCGGCTAGAGCCCAGAACGCGCATGCGCACGTGAAGGGCCAGTTCCCTGCGCGCACGCGTAGAATGGGGGGCCGGATAAGGAAGAGGAGAAAGGACGTGCGCGGTGGGCTGCACGGGGAAGAGATCACATGACTGTATGGGGCGCTCCCCAACACGTGACTAAGCGGCAAGGGGCGTGCGCGAGTGGTGATGCTGGATGGGGGAGCCGCTGCCGCCTGGTGAGCTGGGGGGGGCGGGGTCTGGGAGCTGTCAGGGCGCGTGTCGCTCGCTGCCCCCGCGCCGAGGGGCCCGCGATGCGGCGTCATGGTGGCGGCGGGGCCGGCGCGGAAGCCCGGGGAGCGGCGCTCTCTGAGGCGCGGCTGCCCTGGCCCGGGTCTTACGCGGGAAGCGTCTCTGGCTTCGCGCCGCGGCGATCCGCGCCGGTGGCATGTCGGGGCATCCGGTAGCCAGGGCGGCCCGTGCCCAGCGCGCCCCTCTCTAGCACCAGCCTGGGTATTTACTGCTCCCCGTCAGAGGCGGCCCCGTGCGGGTGGCCGTGCTGCCGGCGGCGCCTCCCGTCTGTACTGCAGCAGGGCGGCCCCCGGGAGCAGCTTTCTAGGATAAACACCGGGCCGGGCAGCTGCACATGCCACGTCTTTGTACCTACGATTTCTGGGCACCTGCAGCCTCTTCTGTACTGACACTTGATTCAGTCCATCGGTCTCCAGGCAATTTGCCAGCTTGGCTCTCAGGGCATGTCTGCGCTAGAAAATTAGGTCGATTTTATAGAAATTAATCTTTAGAAAACGAGTTTATACAGTTGATCGTGTATGTACCCACTAAGCACTGTAGGTCAGCAGAGTGCGTCTTCAATACTGTGACTATCATCGACTCATAGAGTGATGCACTGTGGGTAGCTATCCCACTGTCCCCGCTGCCCATTGGAATGCTGGGTTAAGCTCTCAGTGCCTGATGGGGCAAAAACATTGTCACGGGTGGTTTTGGGTACATGTTGTCAGTCTTCCCTCCCTCTCTCCTTGAAAGCAACGGCAAACAATCGTTCCGCACTTTTTTCCCTGGGTTACCCATGCAGATGCCATAACAAGGCAAGCATGGAGCCCACTCAGCTCAGCACTGCTGTTGTGAGCGTTGTAAACACCTCCCGCATTATTCTGCAGTATGTGCAGAACTTGGCTAGGAGCCGCCAGCACGAGGATGATTGTGAGGAGGACATGGACACAGACGTTCCTGAATGCATAGGATGTGGCAGTTGGGATATCATGATGGCAGTGGGGCTGGTTGATACAGTGGAACGCCGATTCTGGTCCCGGCAAACAAGCACAGACTGGTGGGACCACATATTGTTGCAGGTATGAGATGATTACCAGTGGCTGCGAAACTTTTGCATGTGTAAGGCCACTTTCATGGGACTATGTGAGTTGCTTTCACCTGCCCTGAAGCGCAGGAATACCAAGATGAGACCTGCCCTCATGCTTGAGAAGCGAGTGGCGATAGCCCTGTGGAAGCTTGCAATGCCTGACTGCTACTGGTCAGTTGGGAATCAATTCGGAATGGACAAATCTACCATGGGGGCTGCTGTGATCAAGGTAGCCAAGGTAATCACTAACCTTCTGCTAGCAAGGGTAGTGAGTCTGGGAAATATGCAGGTCATACTGGATGGCTTTGCTGCAGTGGGGTTCCCTAACTGTGATGGGGCGATAGATGGAACGCATATCCCTATCTTGGCACCGGACTACCTTGCCAACCAATACATAAACCGCAAGGGGTACTTCTCAATGGTGCTGCAAGCACTGGTGGATCACAAGGAACGTTTCACCAACATCAACGTGGGATGGTCGGCAAAGGTGCATGATGCTTGCATCTTTAGGAACTCCGAGCTATTCGAAAAGCTGCAAGAAGGGATTTACTTCCCAGACCAGAAAATTACCGTTGGGGATGTTGAAATGCCAATAGTTATCCTTGGGGACCCAGCCTACCCCTTGCTCCCATGGCTCATGAAGCCGTACACAGGCAGCCTGAACAGTAGTAAGGAGCAGTTCAGCTATAGGCT